GTTTTTCCTAACGAAAATAATGTGATTTCTGTTTATTTTTCAGTGTCGGATGCAGAGCTCAAACGAGTATCTGAAGCCTTCAAACGCCTGACCAATGGAGTGACGCTCCTTAGTCAAGCCGCATTTGCTCAACATGTCTTAGGCGAAGGAGTGCCCCCTCCTATTGTAGAAAAGCTCTATACAGCCTGTGGAGGCGGAGCTCGAGGAATAGCTTTGCGCGATCTGATTTGCGGTCTGGTACTGCTGACCAAAGGCTCTCAAGATGAGAAAATCAAGTAAGGCTCTTCATCAATCTCCCAGCTGGAGGATTTTGTTTGAACATTGACGATTTGCAGATTTCTGTGGAGTCTCTATTGCAACGACTCCGGTACGCATATTACTCGCAGCGAGTTCCAAATGGCCCTTCAAGTGGAGGGAACGTTGCCGCCCCCGGATGGGGGCACTTCCAAGCCCAATACGAACTGGGATCGAATGTTGCTCTCCCTATTTGGCAATGGCCAGGACAAGGTTGGATTCGAGGATTTCAAGGCGTGGATCAAGTATAATAGAGATCAGACCATTTTATCGAACTGGTAAGATTACATTGAATAATTTGATATAAACTTGTTCGAATTTCTAATGCCTGTTTGATTGATTTGACTTCTTTTAATCTGGGAAAAATCCCTAATTATATCAAAACCCATAAAATGTTTATAATGGGATTTCAGTTTGCCACGTTTAGATCTTTTCATGATATTTTTTTAAGAAGGAAAAACGAAATTGGTTCGGTTCAATCAACTTGCTGCAGATTTTCCTCAAACTTGCCTTCAAGAGAAATTAGATAATAGATAGATTTTATTCATTTGAAATGGTTGTTTCAAGTACAAATGTCCCTTTTTATCCATATACATGCATTAGTATGCAAACGGTTAATCTTACCTCTAGTTGAATAAATTGCAATAAAAAGTGCGCTTTTTTCTGAAGGCTATTTTTCGCGTCCATCCATCCTAAAGTAAAAAAATGAACTTTTTTTCAGGCTTCTGTCCAACACATGCGTGTCACTCAGCTCGGAAGTGGAGACTCCAACGTTCTACCAAACTTTAGCGGGAGTCACCCACTTGGAAGAGCAGGATATTTGCGAATTGGAAAAGTGCTTCTGGTCGATACAGAGTTCTTCAATTACCGGCCATTTGGATTTCAATTGCTTGCTTTCTTTGGTGTGTCCTCCGGTTCCGGCCAAAGCTTGTCCCGGGTAAACTAACACTAAGATGAATTCTTCTAGTCCTTTTATTTCGGTGTTTTGCCCCAAATAGTTTCGCAAAGACGGAAGTTCCTCACTGCTTCTGTGCTCTTTAAGAGATTAGCATTTTGGCTCAAACTTTTGGTCCGGACAAAATCTTAATCTTTTAAAGAATCTCATTGCAGCTACAGTCATTTTACCTCCCTAATGAACATTTCTGTTGTAGATTGTTCTTGGCTTTGGACGTTAACAGGGATGCACATATCGATTTCAAGGAACTGTGTTGTGGAATATCGGCAGCCTGCCGAGGGCCCATGGCCGAACGAATGAAATGTAAATCCTCCACACAAACCGTAAACTTATCAGCACTTAGTCTTTATTTCCAACTTTCAGTTTGTTTCAAAATATTCGACATGGATCGAGACTTGTACCTAAATTCGGAGGAATTGGAGAGCATGAAGCAAACATTGCAGTTCATCGCAAACGAGAACAAACTGACTTTTAGCTCGCAGTTTTACCTGGAACAGCCGAGCACTAATCTAGAGTTGGATGCCAGCCATTGCAAAGCATTGGAATCTCTTTATAAGAAGGTAAATTGCTGGAGTGCGGAAAGTTTATCGGTGGTTCTACGTTTGTTTCATTGTTAGTTGGACGATAAAAATGGACTCACCCAGGAGGATTTTCTGATGTGGGCAGTCGAAGACAACAGTTTGGTTGCACCTTTGTTGGAGTTGTTGTTTCAAGTGTGCCATGTGTCTTTAGGATTAAAGCCTCACTGCAGGCACAACGAATATGAGATTGGTATGTACTTTTCCCCCAGTAAAACTCGATATATTAAATGTTTCTTTTACAGTAATGGGTTGGCTGGGGCGTGAAGAACGTCGCGGATACCGCGAAGGGCAGTTTTGGTACCTTATAGCTTCAGATTGGTGGCAGCAGTGGCAAAACTACACTTCAGCGCCCAGGTAGGAAGTTTACGCACCACTTGATAAGCAATGTTATAAACCCGTTGTTTAGAACCAACTTGGATCATTGCCAATGCCGCACTGAGCCCAGAGGAATTGTGGAAGAAGGAATCGTCTGCGATGAGAGCCTTGTGAGCAACGCCACCGACTACCCTTTGCATAGCAATGAATTCCATTCCAACAGCATGGAATCTATGGGGGATTTGCTGAGCAGAGGAGACAGGTAACTCGGCTGGGTCTAGTTCATTTTGCAGCCGGTTTATTTTATGGTGGGTTTCAGTTGTAGCATCGCGTCCAGTTCTGGTGTTTCCAGTAGTTCGGGCACGGCGTCCAAGCGCGGTTTAGCCCCGCCTGGCCCCATTGACAACAGCAGTTTGGTTTCGGATTGCACCCTGAAAGTCCAAACGTTAACCGGCGAGGGTAAGTGGATGAAGCCCTAAATTGATTGGTATTTAAGGATTTTCCAACTGCAGGCGGGCGCTTGAAAAGGAACACTCCGCTTGCTCAGCATCATGATTTCGAATTGGTGCCCGATTCGCTGTGGAAGGCGCTAGCGATGTGGTATGGTGGTCCTCTGCCGCTCCCTCGACAGGTGCGGTACTCCAAAATTTTTTTTGGGCCGGTTTTTATAGATTTTTTCCAGGTGATTGATCCGCCAGGACGTTCGGAAGTCGAACTTGAGCTGTATCCTCTCAATCTGCGAATATTGAGGCATCAAGTTCAGCAGCCGATTAACAACCCGTCCACATGGAGCAGTGTGGTCGGCGGGTGAGTTAATCTGTGTGTTGTGAACGTGTTTGTCTAATGTTGAAGACGTTTGAAGCAAATACTCACAATGTGCGGTCAAATCAAAATTTATTACTAGAGCAGATGTGTTGATGTGTAGGCTAGCTTGCAAAATTGGAATTCTTTATTTGATCCAATGAATTTTATCTGCTCTAGTTACCACGATCCCTGTTCGATACGCCGGAAAATCGCATCCTCTGTAGTAGACGTTTGCTTCAACAGCCTTAGCAAATTACACGAAAATTCAGTTAAGGCATTAATCAGTTACCTAAGGTAACTCTTGCACAGTTTACGTCTATTTGGGGCATTGACGATTGATGTTTGGGCGTTTATTTTCAGTTATGGGGCCTTGACCACGGCAGGTTTGCCACCCTCGTCGCCATCGGCTTGCATTCGTCGCAATTTAGCCCATGTGGCCGCATTTTCGCGTTTAGCCACCATACAGCAGGTGACTGACTTTCTATGCGAACGTTTAGGAATCAAAAACGAAGACGCCCGCCTGTGGTTGCTCAGAGACCATCAGCAGCCGTTTTTACTCGAAGACGAACGGGCCCATTTGCAAGATTTAGGCATCAAGTAGGTTTTCAGCGCTCATCTTTTGGCTATTTTCATTGATCAATCTGCCTTGCAGAGATGCTGATCAAATCCTTTTGGAAGTGCGCAACAAAGACTTAACGTGGCCCGAGGAACTCGGCCAATTAGCAGCCGGCGGCAGCAACGAGACAACGCTGGCTGAACGGCGACCGACTATTTATTTACCGCCAGGTAAAAAAGTTTTGTCTAATTAAACTAGTTTTGATGTGTTTTTCTTTCAGGCGCCACTGGATTGCACAACCTGGGCAATACGTGTTTCATGAACGCGGCGCTCCAAGCAGTCTCCAACACTCGACCATTAACCATGTACTTTCAGCAGGACAATCAGCTTTCTGAACTGAACTCAAATAATCCGGATAGTACCAAAGGAGCTGTTGCGAAAAAATACGCCGAGCTTTGTCGGTAGGTCTCGTCGCATAACAGCCCAGATGAAATGAGGTTGATTTGGCGGTTGTTTTTAGGGAGCTGTGGGCAGGCTCGACTCGAAGTGTGGCCCCATTGAAAATTCGAGTTTGCGTTACGAAGTACGCACAGCATCTGAGCGGAGGAGGCCAACACGACGCTCAAGTAAGCTTTTGCAGATTATTTGCCTTGTTTACTTGATATGATCATTGTGCATGCCATCGGCTGTTTGAATCCATCCGGCTTCCTTTTTGAATGAATGGCTGAATAGTTTGCCCGATGTCCATTCAGATGGGGATTTTGTCTTCCATAACGTTCCGCAACAGCTGATATTTCGGTCTTCTCATAACATGTGCGAAACCTTCCAGTTTCTTTTTCTTCAGTGCCTTATAAATTTCCTCTTGTTTGTTCATACGATGGAGTACCTCGATAGCACTATCTGTCGAAAACGAGTAGTCTGCTTGTTTCTGCTGTTTTAAGTGCTTCAAAGAACAAGGTTGAAAACACATAACATTCCTGCTCTTGTCAGTTTTTGTCTCTGCTGCAGAAAAATTTCTTACGCCCCATGAGAGTTTCTCTTCGTTTTCAATTCTAGATGTTATTTCCTGCAATTGTTCAGCAGTTTTGCTTATTATTGTGCCCAAATGTTTGTAGTGTTGAACTCTTCCTATTGGTGTACGATCAATTATCAAGTTTTTGTTACATTTTGTTTACAAGAACTGCCTATTCGTTGCATAAGAGTTTGTAGAGCACCATTTACTTTCGTTTAGGAAATAACGGTTTTCTTATTAGATTGGGTTCATGAAAAGAAAATATGTGTTTCCTGGCCTACGAAAAACGCTAGTTGACTGCTAAGCTTCGAAAACGTAATTTTCCGACGATGTGAGACGTTTTGGAGCATTTGCAGCTCGCCATTTGCTTTCGTTTTGATTCGAATTTGCCATTCTTATTGTATCGTCGGCATATCTAAAGTTGTTAATTATTCAACTTTATCCCTTCGTCTCTTTCTGATGAAGCTTCCTTCGCTGTTTTTGCATATTGAATTGCCAAAAAAATATTTTTTTATTCATATTCTAGGAACTGCTGGCTTGGTTATTGGACGCTCTTCATGAAGATCTAAATCGGGTGCCTAAAAAGCAATATATCGAGCAAAAGGACAGCGATGGCAGGCCGGATGAAGTGGTGGCGGACGAAGCCTGGCAATATCACCTAAAACGGGAAAATTCTATTGTTACTGATCTATTCCACGGGCAGTTAAAAAGCAAGGTAAATTATCCGGCTGGTTTTCAGTTGGCATTGCCGGCATTAAGTTAGTTATATCTTAGGTGACTTGCAAAACCTGCGGACACGAATCGGTCAAATTCGACCCGTTCAATCATCTGAGCCTGCCGCTGCCTATGGAAAGTTACACGCTATGCGAGGTGTTGGTGGTGCGCCTGAACGGCCACAGTCCGATCAAATACGGGTTGAGGCTCAATTCTGAGGCAAAATACGGCGACCTGAAAGAGCAATTGAGCCAGCTGTGTGAAGTGGAGGACCACCGCTTGTTGCTGGCTGAAGTGGCATGCTGCCAGATCCGGTCTTTGCTGCCGGACGAAAATCGAATCAATCCCAACACCGCGTTGGAATTGTACGCTTACGAATTGCCAGCGGATTTCAGGAAATCGGATCTGGAGGGAGAGCAAGGCGAGACTGATGAAGGAGATGTTGATACTGGTATGTCGCACTGATCAGCTTTCTGCTTTCCAACGAATACTTTATAGGAAGACATTTTGTGTGGAAACAGGACTGTTTTTTCTGTGGATTAAGAGAATTTTTCTGTTCGCAGAAGCCTCAACAGGCGCGACTGACAGCCCCCTGGCTCGCAGCCCAGAGGTAAGGAGTGGTTCGGCCATATGCATGCCCAACATTCTATGCTTTAAGGTATGCACGGCCTAGGCCTAGTGTATTTAGGTAATTTTGTTTTGTCCCGCTCTGAAGTGTTTTGTGTGTGAAGTTTTGCAACCAAGTTAAAATGTTTTCCACGTTTTAACCGTTAAACAACCAGAAGTAGATTTTTCAATCTATTGTTGAAACAGTTTTCCTTGCTTGCGTATGTTTTAAGATTCCGTCACAAAATAGACATCAAGAAGCAACACAAGGTAACTGAATGTTGAGTAGAATTGAACGAACATTTTTGTTGTTTGCCACTTATTGTCGTTGCGAGTGCTTAGATGTTTCTGCGCTAATGATAACTATTGTTCCGGTAACTAATGAGCAAAATAATACTAAAACCAATGGAAAATTTTCCTTTTTATTTTACTTGAAGGTTTGTTTCATCAGCGATTCTACCTGTAAGAGTTCTTTCCTCCCTAATACACGATGAAAAGCTAGGCTGAAACTGACGAGTTTTTAGGGTGTTTAGACCGTGGTGGAAATAATGTCTTCCTGACGTTTCGTAAGCACGAGTGGCTTGCACCTTCAGAGGTGTTCAAGCCACATGTGGCACACCTCTCACGTCGGGAAGACATTATTTTTCACGAACAAAAACCCGAAAAACTCTTCGTCTTGAACAATTCTTATATATTCAACTTAGCATACTTTTTTAAAATTTTATGTAGTTTGGTTGCTTTGCAACTTGCCCCAATTAAACAAGCTGTAGTTTTGTAAACTGATCACTGTTCTTAGCTATGCCGATTTATTTTGAATTAGTATGGAATCTTGGGTATGTGCGAAGCATATTTTTCACGTAAACGATCTTTTAGCCAGTTGGGTGATGTTTTCTTTGGGCAAATGGGAAGTTTTATTTTCATTTTTGCTTTTAGACAAAGCGAACTCCATCCCTTAGTAAGGCCATTCCGTTCAAAAGGTCTACAATCTCTATCCAGTCCAATCAGTCATCCTACTCAGGTAAAACTGTTGAGGCTGCAACTCTCTATAGAGTTTCTAATGTTAGATTTATCTAGCGCCCTTTGATGCGTCGATGTTGAGAAAACCGCCCTCCTACCTGATAGCGGTTCATCGCAAGTGTGTCAGACAGGATACCTACTTTTTGTCTCAACAAAAAAGCAAACCCAGCCTGTTTGGGATGCCGCTGCTTCTGGGCTGCTCCTCCAGCAGCACTTGCAGAGATCTGTACGACTTGGTTTGGGAGCAAGTCACCCGGTTATTGAGTCCTATGCCTCAGAGCGATCAGACCAACCATGCTACAGACTGGTGAGTGGCCAAAATTTGCAGAACTGTGCAAAAACGTAATTTTTTTGTCGTTTTCAGTGATGATTCGTTGGGCTATGAGTTTCCCTTTACTCTAAAGGCGGTATTAGCTGGAGGCCAAATTTGTGCCATTTGCCATTGGACGAAGTTCTGCAGAGGATGTCCGCTGCCCTGCACAGATGATCCACTGTTTCATAAATGCGGCGGCCCGGTCAATGGACAAGCCATGCATATTGCCATAGATTGGGACCCAACTGCTCTACATTTGCGCTACCAAACTAGCAGGGAAAAGCTGTGGACTGAAGACGAATCGGTGGCCAGATGCCGGAAATTGCACACGGAACCGATAGATCTGGACTACTGTCTGAAAGCCTTCACTTCCGAGGAAAATTTGCAGGAGAAGTACCACTGCAGTCGCTGTAAGGATAAGCAGCCGGCTACGAAGAAGTTGCAAATTTGGAGGTTGCCTCCCATTCTGGTGAGTTAGTGGGCAATATCGTAGAATGGTTCTAACTTAACGCGTTGTTCTCAGATTATCCATCTGAAGCGGTTTGACTGCGTCAATACTAAATGGGTGAAAACTCAAAAAGTGGTAAACTTCCCGTTCAAAGACTTCAACCCTACCGCATATCTTGCCTCTGTGCCCCAAGAGACTATTTTGAGACATCGTCAGATTTTGGACGAGAAAAGACGAAAGGAGGAAGATGAAGAGAATCGGCATGGTAAGGAGGTTTTTCAACTTTCTTTCGGAGGCTCTTGCGCCAAATCCCAAATGTTTTTTGCAGATGATAAAATATTGGAAGATGTGAGTGAGGCGTCTAGTTCAAGCCCACGTATCTCAACGGATGAAACCGGCCAACTCCCAAATAGCATCGATGCAGCAGCAAATAGTCTCAATATAAGCCAATGTGATATACCTAGTAATAATAATCAATCGGCTGATCGCCCAGTGAGCAATAAGCAATGCGAGGATAGCGATCGATCGAATGGAGTGTCATGTAAAGGGGAGCAATGTAAGCTGCTTCAATGCGGAAAGGAGGGAAGTGATGGATGTGTTTCAGTTGGAACTTGCCAAGGAAAAGACGAAGTCGATAGAGTAAGTAACTTCGATGGATTAAATTATGGAACTGATCGAATTTATCTGATTAATTAAGCAAATACCTCCGGTTTATTTTCACATAAACGCATTAAGTCAATGAAATTTGAGGATTTTTAACGCGGCAAGTGTTCAAGTTTGTGAGAAAGATGCGGAAGGCGATTGATCAAACTACAATACTTTTCCCGGAGTGAAACTATTCGGTTTAAAGGACTAAATTAGGAGTTTGCTGGTGTCAAAGAGAGGTCCAATTTTGTTGCAGCAAATCTCGAATTTTACTTCGAACTGCATCTCTTTTAACTAAGAAATTATAGGGTACTTTGCCAATTAAAAAGTTTTTTGTTTTCGCCTGGATCTCTTAAACGAGCAAAATTTACGTATTTTGATTTTATCATTTTAATTGCAAGATGGTTGATTTTCTTGGGAATTCGGTCTGGGCAGTGGTGAAGAAAAAGACAAACTTTTTTAACTACTTTACCAAGGTAGATAAAAAAGTTTTTCTGTTTCTTCACCACTGCCCAGAACGAATTCCCAAGAAAACTAACCACTTTGCAATTATTCGATATCGGTCAATAAACTGAACTTATTTACCATTTTAAGTTAAACCCGAAAATATCACACAACACCCGTGGTACTTTTTTGATAGCGCAAAAAAAAAATACGAAAGTCGATTAACCCTATGGAAATGTTGAGTGTTTCCGTTCCACCTTGTTCATTTCCTACGAAAAATGCTGTGAATTCAATCGGTCTTTCTACTTTTAACTGATAATCTTTTGGGTTTTAGGTGGCCGCGAGCACTCCAAAACAAAGACCAGAGCGCACAAATAAAGTTCGATCGAGATTGATTTCAACCAGCCTGATAAAAACGCCAATAATCGATGAAAACCTGAAGGACTACCACGAACACAAGTTGCTGGAAGGACAGGATCCCTTCGATTTAAAGTATCAACTATACGCAGTAGTGGTGGGTGTTTTGTTGCGGGTGTTTGTTTGGGCGGCGATTTGCATCCACGCATTTTCAGAGCCATTCGGGAATGCTCAATGGGGGCCACTACATATCTTATGCGTGCAACCCCAATGGCAACTGGTACTGTTACAACGATAGTTCCTGTCGCGAAGTTATCACCGAGCCGGACGTATCTCGATCCAGACTGTCTGTAAGCAGCAAGAATTCGTCTGGATGCACCCCGCTGAGCAGGCGAAGGAACATTCAAGGGTGTCAACCGCAGAGAAAAGGTAAAAATTTGCGGCGAAAACATTGCGCTTAATGTTGTTTTGGGTGTTTTAAATTAGGCAGCACTGGATCAACCGATTCCGACAGAACGGCGCCTCTAGCAACAATGGACACATCGATTGCATCTTCAGCAAGTGCTTTGGATAGTGGAAATGCTTCAGACAGTTGTGAACGATCTTCGGTAACAGGAGGAAGCAAACCCACGAATTCGCCGTGCCCGAGCCGATTGTCGACCAGCGGCAGCACCAATAGCGTAAACAGCAACAGCAACGGTTTCAAGTGAGCTCTCGCAAGTTACGCAAATTCAGTGCGCTCAAAAATCATGTTTCCAGATGCCCGTACAACAACGCAAAGATCCCGAGAATCGACACGAGTTCCGCCTACATTCTATTCTATGAACGTTCCGGACTGGATTACAAGCCGTACCTGCCCAAAGTCGTTCCTTCCGGGAACGGCAACAGCCAACAGTCGGCTGTAGACGATGCTGATGACTGCGACAGTGACCTACGTAAGCAGAGTTGTTCCATTCAGTAATGTGCTTGATGTGGTTAGTTTGTGTTTGTTTTAACAGTATTAGTCTAGAAATTAATATTTGTGGCGTATTTTGCATGTTTTTCTGCACCAGTATTTTGCAACTCAATTAAACACTCCAGGCTAAACCGGGCAAGGTTTTGATGCATTCACTACTTTTATGATAAACTAAACGTTACTTATCAACACCGTTCGTCCGATTGTGCTTCGTTTCCTACTTTTTCTCAGTGAAACTTCAAATAATGTCACGGTTTGTTCAAAAAACCGTATTTGTACATTATCTCAATATAGATTAAGCGTAGAAAAAGCACCCAAAAGATGCAAAACAGTGACTAAATGTCTGCCTGATGTATAACGTATAATTGCATGTTATTCTACTTTAATGGAGGTACAAAGTACAAGCTCTCATTACATTGGAGCTGGTGAGTTTTTTGGGCTTCCGGTCTTTATGTACAAGAAGTTCTTCCTGAGCAGCAACGGCTCTCAAAATTGCATTCAACTCGTCCAGGAAGAAATTCTACCCCAAAAAACCCATCGGTTTCATGCAATCGCCGGAAAATCCAGTTCAATAATCTACTGTTACAGAGCCTGGAAGGTCTTTGCCTGAACGTTCTCCTGTGTTGAAGTGGATTCGGGACAAGTTTTCTACATAACGACGCATGAAAACGCCCAAGCAACTTTTCTCAATAGACTGATTCTACGATAAATTTTTCCAGCAACATTTGTTACTTTTCTAAAGCAATCTTAAGTGCTGAGCTTAAAATCGAAGGAAACCCCCAGGGTTTTAGTGATTTGCATTTATATAACCGGATTTGGTGCGCAAATTTGTAGCCGCTGGAACGCAATACTGTGCCATTCAGTCTTATTTGTATTGGAACTTTGTCTGATATTCGGTGGAAAGTTTTCCATATCCGCCATGATTGTGTAGGTCTGATTCAAGGATCTATGATGTACAAAAAGCATTCCACGTAACGTCGTGTATTTTTCTTTCTTCGTCGACTTTTTTTTAAAGATATCCACCAATACTCTTAGCCCAATTTTAGCTCGTAGATATCTCGTTAAACCTTCATAGTTTACTTGGAATACGTAACTGTATCATTTGTTGATTTGATTTGAAAAAATGCAGCGGAAAGTCGATTCATTAAGTAATCGTTGGTTTCGGCTCTTCCTCAAGCGACGTTCCGCTGTAGATTTGTTATACCAATGTTTTATTCTCGTGTGCCCAAATAGTAATTTTAATATTTTCCTTAGAATTAATTTATTTACTTGGTTGCGTTAGTTTTAACTTTGTTAGATATTATACTCAGATGTCTGTTAAATCGAAACGATTCACGGTGGTGTTAGGGATGTTTTGCACTTTACTTTAGAAAAGTAGAGGCATTATCGCAGACAGACGCATTGCCTCAGACGTATTTTTTCCTTGGCAAATTTATAATACAGGTCTTTTAGTTTAGGTGAACCAAAGATATATTACTTGTAAAATCAATCAAGAAACATGTTCTCCTAGTGTGCTGTGGTAAAAATTATAAATATTCCAACTAGTCTGATATTTTCTTTAGTTAAGATATTTTATTTTCGCACGCTGGTCGAAAGAACATATTAATTATTCCATTAAGGTTAGTTGTGTTATTGTAATATTATCGGTGCCATTATAATATAAATAAAGCTTGTATATTGTTAGTGTGCTTTTTTTTCACAACTCGTGCCAAAACACTCGATTCAGAGAAATGTTTTTTTATTTTTAAAGTAGAGCCAAAAATCGTATGTTTTTGTCCAATTGTTAAAATTAACTCATAGTTTTACTCGCCCTATTAAAAACTGTAATTATAATTTATTTCTTGTTCGGTTTCTGGGTAATAAATTTGCCCTCAGTGATCAGATTTCAGGTAAACCCGCTATGCTCTTCTAATATTTCGCGCTTAGAGAATTCACTCCCTGCCATCCAGGAAAATTCAACGTAACTTTCGAGAAATAACTACATACTTGCAACAAAAAAACTAGAAATTTTTAACTTTAACAGACCAAAGATACTTTGGAGACGCCAATATTATGAAAGGAAACTAGTACTAGTCAGTTATATTACATGACATTTTTTTAAATATCGTGGACAGTTAACCGACTGGCAAATCAAGGGTTTTTACCCCATAAGAACCCAAATCGGTCAATTTCCTATTAGAATTAAGGCAATTGTATAATAATATAATACACCAATTGGATACCAAAAAAAAACATCAAACGTTCAAAGCCAGTTCGGTTTATAGATGAAATAATACAAAAAATATGTATGGACTTGTTCTATTTGAAAATAAAGCAGGCCCAAACATGTTTAAAAATTACACCCAACCCTCAAAATTGCATTCGATGTGGGAATTGGCTGGATCTGAGCCCGAAACTAGCGTATAGGTAGGCCAACAGAATTTTCCTAAACAAAAAAGCAAGTCAGTTGGTTCGGCAGTAAAATCGAAGAAAAAATTGTTCCAATTTTTTTTACCAATTTCCTACAGCCAAAGGAAATTGGTGGTAAAAATCGAATTAATTTAGTCCTTAAGCGAAACTCCAAAACGAGGAAATCATTTTGCAGCATTAGAAAGGACTATGGCTCAATATATTAATACGAAAAAGCGAACTGTACCTATCAGGATGCTTCTTGATTCCTTCTAGAACCTGTTTGTCGACTGCCTTCTGGTCAACTTTCCTCTCCTCGCTCACTTTGTACCCCTGGAAACCCAAAAAATCACTTGTTAATAAAAAATCTCGGTTTTAGAAAACAATTGTTGGCACAATTTAGTCAGACAGAAACGGTTGAATCATGAAATGTTTTTTTCCAGAAGTTTTCCATCATAATAAAAGCAATTATATTTTAAGGAAAACTGAGATACGTACTTCCTTCTTCTTTTGGAAGACATCACCTTCTTCCTTTTTCGCCCTCTTTTCGCGCTGCCGTTTGAAGTATTCATCGTTGATTTTATCGTCAATTTTCACGGTACTGATATCGATTTTCGTTTGAGTGGCAATCACGTATCTTTGACTAATGCGTCTCAAAGGGCAGGCGTTGATCTGGAAAGGCCCTTGAAAACAACAAAAACTGTCAATAAAAACTGCCGATGAAAAACACCTTAAAGATCAATTGGAAGAAAAAAAAAGCATTTCAGACATACATTCGATTTATATCATGGGCATTCGTAAGGTGTCCTAAGTATATTCATCATGTTGAGAAGAGAAAGCGTGTTTGTAATTGATTGATAACAATTTGTTCAGGGGGTGTAACGGGTTGACTCATGTTCTTACCAGTAACTAAGAGAAGTCCTGATTGAAGCTGCTTCAAGAAAACTACCCTTTTGCCCTTGTGACCTCCAGCCAGCAAGATCAGAACAGTTCCTGGGGTGATGCTGGGACGAAGAGTCCTTACATGATTTTTAAAGAGCCGCTTTCCTGGCCTCTTCTTAATTCTGCAAGTGAACAATACAGAGTTTATATTGCGTGAAATACACCCGAAAGGGCTGAAAAAATCATCATAAAAATTGAGTTTCACATGTGGAAAACTGTTTTATAAATTCCCTTGTAGAGTGAAATTCATGGTAAAGTTTTCATTGATTTCGTCCTTAAGCGAAACTGCAAAACAATACTGGATCTTGCAGCATTAGAAAGGACTATAAAACACGCGGTTTCCATGAGGTTTTTTACTCACTTTTCCTGCGTCGGGTACACTTCGCGCCGCTTCTGAACCAGCACAACACGTGTGCCTCCATTCTTGTCTCCACCGATTGGCTTTACAACCACTTTGGGCTTGCCGGGTTTCTTTGTGGGAGCAACTTTCTTGCCCACAAACTTGTAAAGGGCCTTCTTGTGGTAAACCCTGGATCTGGAGAACCGAACAACTCCATTCCCCAGGTCGTAATTCCTGGGGCGAGACTTTTTGCTTTTCTCTGCTGGTGCCATCTGAAACAAGTAAATATCAAGCTAGAATAACGTGGCCGAATCTCATTAGTCGCAAACTGATAAATGAGCTTTCAGTGTTCTAAAACTATCGACATAAATGCTTCAGCGGTGTCCTAAGAATCAATTCATCATATCTAATATGGCCTGTTAACCATTGTAACCTCGTTTAAAAAGTCGTGTTTTGCTCGAATTCCTTGCGGAAACTTGCGAAAATATTAAATACACTAACTAGCTAAATGCTTACATAAAAGGAATCATGGTTTACATTCACTAAAATAGTTAAGATGCTTGGAGAAAAAAAGGAATGTTTCAACCTAAACTTAACACTGCGAACTCACCTCTACAAACACCTTCTATGAAAGACTGAAGGATTGTTTGTAGAGCGTTGACATCGACTGATCGACAGTGTCTAACCAATGGTGCCAACCAAAATGGCATTTGGAACACAGCGTAAACTGAGATAGACGCGAAATTTTCTAGGTTTTCAGGCTATTGTGTGCGATTTTTAACAGTTCGGCTTATGTTTAGTTACGATAATTTTGTAGAAAACGTTTCGAGTCACTTAATAAGTTTTCAAATTGTTGTTTTTTTTATCAAGCTTGGAAAAGAGGAGTTTGATATTTTTCAGTCTGTTCGTAATGGCAGGTTGGAAAGGCTGTGTTGGCTCGCTCCGGGAACATTTCAGTAAAATTCCAGTTTCTTCGAATTTGTCCGCGGAAAATTGTTCAGTTTCAAGAAACAGGAGATTTTCCTCATAGTTTCCTGGTGTTTTTCTGTTCAATAGTGCAAATTCCGAGGAAATATTCGAATTTTCCAGTTAGGGAATTTCTGACGTTTGCTGTCAGGCTGTGTAAATCGCGATTACATAGCTTCTAAGTTTCTCCCCATTACTAATGGAGCATTTCCATTTCCACGCAGAACTAGATCACTTATAAATGGTAAGTTAGTGTTTTCTAACATTTATGCCCAATATTTACCTACCGCTTCTTCAAAAACATGTGTTTTTTATTCAGCTGTTCATTACTAAAGTGAATCAAGTTTCTAAATGAAGACAATGCAGCTCAGAGCAGGAAGCACTTGAAAAGGGAATCACAGGGTTGATTTCCTTTAGAAAATAAATAAATAGTAGTTTGGGATGAAAGGTTGAGTCGCTAGATAACCATTAGTTGCAAAGAGGGAGCAATCGGGGAGACATCGCGTTGCAAAGATGGCGGAAATAAGAAGGATGTGATTATATACAAGCAAATAGTGAGCAAATTGCAAAAACGCTGAAAAGTAAGTAAGTAATCACTAATTGTACAAAACCTATCTGTTTTAAATTCAGCGGTTTATTACTGAAGTAAATAATGTTTCTAAATGGGGATGAG